TTATTAAATTTAAATAAAAAATAGAGACTAACATTTTTGTAAGAGTACTTTTTAAATAACCAGCTCGCGTAATATGAGAAAATTGTCGCTCCGACCTTTAAGCAAACCCTTGGCAAATTTCTAGAAGTCCAAAGTGCGTAATTTTCGCTTTGTGGGTACCAGGGCTATTTTATATTGTCAATGAAGAAGCAAACATAAAAGCAACGCAGCCGTTATGCTCAAGCCAGATGAACGGTTCTGATTTCATCACTAACTTCGCTTCTGTTTTTGGGAGTTGTCGAAGTCAATAAAAGGAGCAGGCTTCACAACACTCGCTGCTGTGATCAACTTTTCTTTTTCCCCTTGCATCGCTCCTTAGTTACTGGAGTAAAAGGAATTCCACACCATTCGCGTGCTGGACTCATCCACTTTTGGAGAATCAATAAACCCTAACATCTCTTTGAGATATTAGGGAGATTTCAGTTTCGAACATAGTTCTTCTTGTCGGTGATTTGGTGTTGATGCGGAAAAAGGAAGTGAGGCAAGCTGGGAAAGGCCGGTGAGCTGCTTGGCATCTTTGATTGCATAAATGAGGTCGCCGCAGCGATCGCGGTGGCATCATCATCGCTGATGGCGAGGATGAGCGATTCGGTTTATCGAGTCGATACTACACCCAGGCTCGCCCAATGGAGGATCGATGCCCTCTCTTCTTTCACTTACCGCAAGTCGGATCCTTTCAAGATTGGCCTCTGGAACTGGTTCTCTCACTCTCTCTGGATTTCGATTAATCTTCTTATTTGTGTTTAGCTATGATGAATCCTCTGTTCATTGCTATGTGTTTGAATTTTGTGAATTAATTAGGAGTAAAGCTATGGATAGGCTTTTTAGGGGTTAGATTTCTAGCCTCAATATCGGCGCTAATAAATTCATTTCGATTCCACGGTGAAACATATTCAAGCATCAAGTGCACAGAATTCAAGAAGGATTGAAGTTCATATACGAATTAATAAATTTCTTAATATAATCATTACATAATATTCACTTATGGAAGCCACGGAATTGAATAATAAGTGCAGAATATATGCTAATTATTTGTTGATCTCTCATTCATGCTCATACAACAAAAATCATCTCTAACTCGACACATTTCTTGTTTTTAACATAATTATTATATCAAATGCAGTATGAATGTCATTTTGTATACAACAATTTTCTCTTTACACAAGATTATTTGTATAATTTAAGTTTTATGAATGAGTAACCAAACTTTTAACATAGAGAATCATATAAAAAAAACCGAGTAAACACACTTTCAATACAGAGATTTAATAAAACTGCACTCAAGTAAGTTCAACTCGAACTGAATTTGATTCTTTAGTTGGTTTTTAATTTTGATTTGAGAATCAAGAAAGCTTTGATAACATGAAACCAGAATGAGAATACTAACAATAATCAATTTAGTAATTGCGTGCTAGAAGCTTAAAACAATTTGCTTTTGTTCATCAGTGTTTTTTATTTATTTTATTATTTGTTATTTTGTTTCGTAGAAAAACTTTTTCTCCATCAAATTGTGTCCTTTTCCCCGATGTGAGAAAATTCAGTAATGATTAGATATTTAGATTTATACCCAACCTTTGAAATGATGGCCACTTCTTTCCCCAGATTTGCTGTAAAGCTATGCAATCGCTTCCTTTGTTGCAATCTTGTGAATTACTTTATGTTTTTGCCCTCTTTCAATTTGTTTTTATAGTGAGTTAATCCACTTATTGCCATTTTTATGACCTCAACTTTGACTAGGTACATGACCTTGGAAAGAAGCAGGCAATTATTTGTAAAGTTATACCCAGAAGTGTCAAACATGACATCGGAGCAGTCTCCAATTGCTTCCTTTATCGTCAAAATTGTCTCATCCTCTGCTACAGATCGCAGAACAATTGTTCATCCAGGTCTAATTCTTCTCCATTTTCTTATTTCTGTTATCTACTTTTACTTCCATTATTCATGGTGTTGGATTTCAGGTGTCAGCAACAAGTCGTAGAGGAGGTGGGAACCGAATGACTGAGAAGCTTTTAATTTAAGCTTAGCTGAAGTATTATTTTGTTTTCAGGAATTAGTGACAAGCAGCTAAAGAATAACGACTACTTTGTCTGGGCAGTCGACAACTTTGCAGGGAAGTTCGTTATTGACGTTGAGTTCCTTGACCTCAAGATTGTGCCGCCATCTGTGAGTAATTTTTCCTTTGAAGATTGTGATTATGTTAAATCTAACTCATGCCAACATTAATCATTATATAATTTGGAAAATATTACTAAAAACACAATATATAAATAATGATTTTACATGGTTTTAATGACAGTGACACCAGTGGGCTCCTTTCATGAAAAAATTTTTAGCTACAGATAATCGTATGTGCAGAAAACCGATAATGATATAATACATTGTGGACTTCAAGTGTACTCCGCCATGATTGATTGTCCGTACATACGTTTATCCGTATAAACTATTTTATCACTTTCAAGTGATTGGCTCAATAGAGCATTGTATACGCCGATATGATGCCTAAAAGTTCTGTTGTACTATTAATATTTTTCTTTTTCGATTCTTCCGAAGAGTAGAGACAATTAGAGGAAAGAAATATATCTAGTAAATATAGATTGAAGTAAATAAAGACTGGTGCGAAGCATGTGGATGGCGGAACTGGCATTAATTTTCAGGGTCGGCAAAATCACAAAGTAGTAAAGGGTCTGGAACCGGCAAAAAAAAAAAAAAATTTTCTTTAAGACTAAAGTATGTGACGAGATAAATTTATTAATAGAGAAAAAAAAAGCCCTATAATATTAAAATTATATAACATTCTTATGATATTAAAAAATTTTAATTTCAGTGTCGGCCTATTCAAGTGAGCCTAGTCCCGTTACTCAAAAGGATAAACTTTAAATAATTGTAAAAGTTAGTGTTGTGATATGCAAATGTTTCTGTACTGCATTTTCTCAAGTTATTAGATCTGTCAACTAACTAACATCACTTCTTTACAACAATTGTAAACTGTGTTATCTTTTCCTTACGCTGATTAATCTTTTTTGGTCGCTCCGTTAAATTTACATGCAAACAACTCTTACACTACAAGCGGACTAAAGTCATATAGTAGGGGCCTTTCTTCAAAAATTTTATTCTTTTATGTTGTTCTCTCTCCAAATAAACTTTTTGGAGTTTTTTCACCCTCAATATACGGTTTTACCCAATTTAGTAAGATTATCTTATTAGTTATTTATATTTTTTTTCTAGAAATATTATATATATCCAAGGGCCGAACAAGCTTTTTTTTTTGAGGTGGGGCAAATTTATTATAAAAAATTTTAATTTTCACATTTTATATAATATTTTTCTATGCTCCTAATATGATAAAAACATGAAATTTATTATAAAAACGTGAATTAAAACTTTTGCATTTATTAATATTCAATCTCTTTTGCATTTTCTTTTCTGTATTGAAAAAAAAAAAATTATATGTTAATGTGAATATTCATATTAAATATAATTTCATGAAAGTCTAACTGTAATGTCAATCTCAAACTAAATACAAAAAATATATATAAAAAAAACTAATAAGTAAATATATGTGAAATAAATAATAAAAAAAGTTTATACATTGAGACTAACTATAATTCATCTCATGTTTTTAGTTTCTATTTTGGTTAGCTCAAATAAACAAAAAGTTTATGTTTTAAATATAGGCATTTACATACATACCACCCAATTCTAATGTATGTACACATCTAACATATAAAAATCACTTTTTACATTTTTAAAACCCAAATTTTCCATATACAAAAGAATCATTAAATTAATATTTTTTATCACTATCTTAATTTTGAATAAGTGAAATACTTTTTTTTATGCACAAGTAAGATGATATGTATGTAAAACTTGAAATTTAGGTGTTAGGTATGTGTATACATAGGAATTGAGTAGTATGTATGTAAATTTCGTAAAAGTTGTGAAAGCTCATGGTGTAATTTAGTCCCACGTCGTTTTGAAAAGAGATATTGCTGCTGCTTAAATGAGAAATATATTATCTTGGGAATAAACCACCTCGCTGTGCTGTTATAGGCCATTTTTCCGTCAGTTTAAGAAAATAATAATTCTTTTTGAACAGAAATTAAAATTTAGATCAGTAAATTTAACATTTATGTATTCTTAAATTATCGTCTAAGAGCACTAACAATGAAGGTTTTTCTAAATTCCAATATTAATAAATTTGTAGTTTAAATGAGAATTTTTTCGCGAGTCAATTGGGGCAACTAATATAGTTAAGAGGGCAAATGACAATTAAATTGTATCTTTCCTAATAGCATGCATGTCTGCACTCCGCACATTTTAATGTGTGTGTCTGTGCACGGTTCGAGCCTGCGCATCTACAGTGCGAGATGTGGTTAAAAATGTGATGGTGGCTGGGGGCGCATAGCTTTCTTTTACTTATAATTTGAGGGCTCGTGCTGTCTTACCATTAGGAAAATACGTTTCGGCAACTTATCCGTTAGGAAAATACGTTTCGGCAACTTATCCGAAAATGTGATTGGGTTTTTACATTAAATGCTGTCCGCGGGCCGCGTTTCAGAACAAGCTGCTTATCTAAATAAACACAAACTGCCCTAAACACACTGTAAATTTTTAATATTATGAGCTCTGTTTGTCTTGTTATACCATACTTTATAGTAAAGTTGACAAGCTGCAGACTTTTCTTCATGCTAAACACCCTTCATGTCTTCCAACATTTTGTGATAACTTCAAACGGAATGGTTTGCCAGCATGAGAACACAGAAAAAAAAAAAAAGTGGAAAAACATTACGGAAAACATCAATGTTTAAAATACTGATGATTCTTGACCATTGTTCTTAGAGAGACCAAAACCAAGAGATCTTTAATCCAAGAAAATCTTATAACTTAGATGTCATTCTTGGATGCAGATGCTCCATAGTTCCATGGTAATTCCACAACCGTTCAAACTTATGATTCACATTGGATGTCTGAGATCCAATCCACTCAAAGCTAAACAAATTTTACCATATGAGGTAAATTATGATCCCAATTGGATAAAACAGATCAAACAGGCGTAAAAAAAGCAAGATTTAAATACATACCACTTAATTCTTACTTATTTTCATTTCTAACACCTAAACCAACTTCTACATTCCACCTTACCTATTCATGAAAAGGTATATTTCGTTTTAAAAGTTAATAGTAGTGGTATTTTTGATGAGATATGAATGGTTATGGTATAAATGTGGAAAAAGCAAAGTTTAGATGTTAAGCTTGGCATCAGCAAAACCATTTAAATGAATGATTATTAAAATGTGTTAGCATAGAATTATAAGATTCCAGCATATGCTAAATATTGAATTAGTTTATTAATTATCATTGAAATAGATAACTAACAAGTAAGTGAAACTAATGGAAGATTAATTGACGTATGGCTTAATATTTATTGATCAACATAAATCAGAAACTTCTTTGTTGGCTTTTATTTTTTCCTCCCTTTGCTGGCTTGATCAAAGCTTGTCTTCTGACAAACCTCAATCAAACATTCCCTAAAATTTGTTGTCTTTTCAATTCTATGCATTGAATCAATTAACAGTCTACTCTTGACAGGGTGGGGAGCCCTCATCCATCTGGTCTGGTCAACACATCCAGAAACATTCTCCCATCACTTCTCTCAACTCCCTCAGCAGGATGCTTACTGACAGCATCCATACTGACATCACCATCAATGCCAGCGACGGCAGCATTGGCGCCCACAGGGCTGTTCTTGCCACAAAGTCATCTGTCTTCCAGAGAATGTTTTCCCACAACCTCCAAGAGAAGAAGCTCTCTACTGTGAACATCTCCGACATGTCCTTAGAAGCCTGCCAAGCCTTCCTCAACTATATCTATGGAAACTTCCAAGCTGAGGAGTTTCTTAGTCACCGTTCAGCTCTTCTCAGAGCTGCTGATAAGTATGATATCTCCGACCTCAAAGAAGCTTGCCATGAGAGTCTCCTGGAAGACATTGATTCGAAGAACGTGCTCGAGAGGCTCCAGATGGCATATATATACCAGCTGCCGAGGCTGAAGTCCTCTTGCTTGAGGTATCTGGTTCACTTTGGCAAGATTTATGAGATCAGTCAGGATTTCAATTTGTTTCTGCTTAGTGCAGATAGAGAGCTCATAGCTGAAGTCATACAGGAAATTCTTGCTTCCTGGAAGGTTTTCTAGTTAGAGCTTCTATGATGTGTTGATTGGGTAGTGTAATGGGTTTGCTGTAGTGATGATCGTTACATGTACATATAGATTTGTTGGTGGGAGGTTGTGCAGAATTCATTTCCAATGAAGAGGTGTGAATTCTTTGTTTTCACATGTAATACTTTTGGGCTGACCGTGGTTCCTTCATAAAATATATTGGGAATGAATAAATACTTTCTACACCATCCAATGAATTTTCATTAATTAGTTAAATGTGTGACCCGAATCTTGTGAGTGCTGCTCGCCTTAATAAGATGTTATGAACATACAAAATGAAGGCTTCTACTGTTGGAGTAATTTTATAATAATTTTTAGATTACAATCTGAGTGATCTTCTTTGTCGGCTGAGTATTTTCCTTATAAGGTGTTCTTCAGTAGTGTATAGATATCTCCTTCCTTTGTACGAGGACACACTCACTTTCTTTAGTTCAGTGTTAAGGTTGACACTCTTCACTTGTAATATTTCTCTTTCGATGGGTTGAATTCTTCTCCTATGCACATAGTTTTCCCATATTTTTTTATTGAGATTTTTATGGGCTTGACACACCTAAGTTATTTATTTACATACCCAACATGTGAAACTTGTTATTTACTTGTGTAACACTCAAATCCCCTTTCTTTGCTCCAAAATAGCCTTCCGTCAAAATGTTTCACTCGCCGTCTATCATCTCCAATTTTTTTTCTCCTTCATGTATGTTCTTATCTTTCCTCGTTTTCAAAGGGCCGGCTAAAGAAAATCGGCGTCTTCTCTTGTTTGCTTTTGGGCCAATAGTCTTCTTCTCTTTTCATATTCATTCGCCCACATCTTTTCGAAAATCTTCTCCACTTTTAGGTCGGTGAAGACCTTCCTTAGCTTCCCTTGTGAACCTTTTTCATATCTTCCAGAGCTTTGAAATATCAACAAGATTAGGTTACTACTTGTGGCTGGAGGAGGAAATCTTAAATGTTGTACGTGATCTTGTCCAACTATCTACTATTGCTCTCCTGTGTTATGTCTGGTTATGTTTTGTTGAACTATTTTTTTGTATATTTTAGTTTCTGAGATTTCATTTTATGAAGATTTGCTTCACGTTGCATTTATGCTTTCCAGTGCTAGTTGAAAAACTCTCCTTTGTTGCTCAGTTTGATGGGTCTACAATTGGTCGCATATGGGCTTTTCTTTTTTAGTTGTATTTCTTTTAATCTTTTCTAATGCTAATATCTCTTATATAATCTGTTACACGAGACAGTAGTCCACTATCCATCTAGATGACTTTAATTTCCTCTCTGCCCTTATGGAAACTTCCATAAGCATAACTCGCAAAGTATCAATCGAATCAGTATCAAACTTCTAACTTAATCAATAAATGCATTAAATGATTTGGCCTTATTATTTGTATTGTGATGATTTGTCATGTTCGGTGAGAAATTTCTTCTCGATCGCTTGTAAGGCAAAGCAAATAAGTAAGAGTGATTCTGAGTGCTCGTAATGCATAAATCAGTCAAGTCGCATTCAAATTGGCATTTAGTATATTCATTAGCAATAACCACATCAATCATTTAATCTTTTGATTTTCAATACAATGGAAAAAAAAAATTAAGCTCTCCTAGAGATAGCGTAGACATACCTGTTGACCCCATTTTTATGAGATCTTCATTTTCCTCTCACTAGAACCTATGATCTAGCCAAATGACTTCTCTACTAACTCTCCTAGAGGACCAGTATTGAGGCCTTCATCACTTAAAAAATTCAAACCTCTTCTTTTAGTCTCATGTCTATGATTTTGAATTCTCGACTCTTGTTTGAGTCCATTGACACCAATATATTGAAACTCAATATGAGCTCCCACAAGGATTGTGAGTGCCCTAGGCAATCAGTTAAGCTTAATATTTATTCTTAATCACATCTTTGGTTCGAGATGAACTCAAACATGTTTAAAGTTCATCTTAAACCACGATTGAGTCTAAATTGAAAATAAAATAAGAAATTAAACAATGAAAAAATAAATCAGATTAATGTTGGAATTAAACAGATGAATCAATAATCAAGAAGTATTAAATTCAAATCAAATTTAATATTAAAAACTCTATCAAATTTTATAATCCTAATTAAATTGCAAATTAAACATAATTAAAATTAAAATGATAACAAATTTATAATTAAATAAGAATAAAAAAATTATAATATAAAAGAATTTAAAAATAACCTAAATGAATTCTCAATAAAAATTTTAACAATTGTAATCAAATATAAATAAATATTTAAATATAAAATTAGAATAATAAATAAGCTGAATTTGAAAGATAACTAGCTCAATCCTTATATATTTAAGTCAATTAAAATAATTTCATAATAAATAGAATAAAATGATTCAATTTCTAAAAAAGTAATAATAAATAGAATGCTAAAGATAAATTTACAAAAAGTTTAAATAAAAAAGGCTCCTCTAATATTTAATTAAAGCAATTAATTAATATCTACCCATTTCTTCTCATCTCACCGCCAATTCACTGCCATCTAGCCAGACACATCATCAATTTGGGTTAGGTGGCTTCCAATGCAAGCTATCCTCTCTCCCTGCACCAAATTCTACCAACTCTTCATTACAGAAAACTCAAGGAATTGGAATACTAGCAAAGAAATTAGGCGATCAAAAGAGAGAATTCCTTCCCAACTAAAGAAGAGCAAGAGGTATTTTTCACTCGGCAAGAGGTTTTTGATTTGGCCTCTTTCCCATAAGGGAATGAATACCTAAATCCACCAAATCTTCTTTACAGAAAAACCAAGGGATCGGAATACTAACAAAAAAAATTAGGCAATCAAAGAAGAGAATTCATTCTGAGCTAAAAAAGGGCAAGAGACATTTGCCACTCTGCAAGAGGTTTTTTATTTGGCCTCTAACTAAGAAGGGAACGAATACCCAAATCTACTTATCTCTACTTTACAGAAAACCCAAGGGATCAGAAAACTAGTAAAGAAAGAAGATTGTAATAGAGAGAATTTCTTCCTAACTAAAGAGCAAGAGGCATTTAGCATTCTGCAAGAGGTTTTTGATTTGGCCTCTTGCCAAGAAGTCAACGAATACCTAAATCTACCAACTCTTCATTACAAAAAACCGAAGGGATTGTAATAGTAGCAAAGAAATTAGGCGATCAAATAAGAGAATTACTTCCAAACTAAAGAAGGGCAAGAAACATTTCCCACTCGGAAAGAGGTTTTTTTCTTGCCAAGAAGGGAACAAATACCTAAATCTACTTAATTTTTCTTTACAGAAAACCCAAGAGATCGGAATACTAGCAAATAAATCAAGCGATCAAAAGAGAGAATTCCTTCCTAACTATAGAAGGGCAAGAGGCATTTCCCACTCGGCAAGAGGTTTGTTATTTGGCCTCCTGCCCTTCTTTAGTTTTTTTCTTTCGTTCTTTTCGAGTTAAAAAAAATGGTTTTGATTGGGTTGGATGTTATAGGATTGTAAGCAGCCTTAGGTGATAAAAGAAAAAAAAAATGGACTCCAGACTCAAGAAGGTTGGAAAATTGAATTTAAGAGAAGCAGCAGCAAAGGCAATACTGCGTGCCGTGTAACAACATGGACATGTGTTTGTCGAGTTGAGAAGAGTTTCGAAAAGCACCATCTTCTTCTGCATCCTGTGCCTTTCTCAGTGTTTTAGCAAAGTCCTGCCTTATAATCATCTTCAAGGAAATCTCCACTGCAAAAGATATAATTGTGTTGCATTACTCGCAAAAGGCGCTTTCACTGAAGCAGATAGTTTCGAGCAAGGAATTCTAGATTCCGAATTTAAAGTGAACTCCACCGCATGTTCTTTGCTAAACGAGAATATTTTAACTTTTAGCATCTCTGGTAAATATCTCGTAGAGTTGGGATTTGGGAACAAATCAAATGAGCATACATGATGACTTAGGCTCGGTTTGGGGCCGCATTTTTCGAGCGTCGCGGCCCCACAAATTGGAAAGTTAAAAAAATTTTCGCGTGCTTTCCTTCCGCAGCAGCGGTTGATTGCCGCTAAAAGGAAGAAAGCTGGCCGCGGGGTCGACCCCGTGGCCTGGCTTTCTCGAGCAGTAAAGGCTCCTTTGCCCCACTCGTTTGCCCCGCTCCAAATCCCCGCAAGGAACCCTAACCCAATTTGGGAAACCGCCTCTTCTTCCTCTCTTCGTGCAGACTCCCCCTTCTCCTCCCCCTGTTCGGGAAACCGCCGCCCCGCTCGATTGTCTCGCTCCGAAGCTCCTGCTCGCTAAGTTGCCCCCTTCGCGAAGACTCCCCTTCTCCTCCTGTTCGGTAAACCACCCCTTACTGCTCGATCGGCCCTCTCGATCATCCCGCTCTGAAGCCCCTGCTTGTTGCTCCCTTCGCGAAGATTCCCCCTTCTCCTCCCCCTGCTAGGCCGGCCGCTGCTCGCCTTCCAACGTCATCGCTCGGGTGTTTTGTGCTGATCGAAGCAGCTAGCCCCGTTCTGCCCCGCTCAAAACCGAAACCTGAAGCTGGTATTTCTCCTCCCAAATTTTTATCCCATATTTTGTTGTTGTTCTTGTTTTTAGACGATGTGCTCTGCAAAATGGATGAATAACAACTGCAATTAACATCAAAAGAAAATATTAGATATATACTTGCATGAACTAGAACTTATGATTCTTACTCTAATTTCAAAATTTATCAAACTTGCATGATAGAGTGCTAGATATGTTCTCTCTATAGTTCTTTGGTACTTATATGGATCCGCTAAACAGGACAAGTCTTTTGTTTATGTATTTATTTTATCTTTTTTTTTATAATTTAAATGGTATTGGATTGCTAGCTTGATTGTGGTTTTATCCCATCTACCTTCTCCACAATATGTTTTATCCTTGATAACTCTTATTAGTTTCATAAACCTTTCATGTCTGATTCCAGTTAAAATTTGCACTCATGGACATTTCTTATATTTCTCCCATTGATATGTTGCACAGAACTTAATTTTGTTATTTGAATAGTTTTTGTACAAAAAGTAGTTTTTTTTGCTTTTTCGGCTGGAGCAGAGCTTCCCATTTATTGGATCATAAATTGCTTGGACTAACATTATGACTAACATTATAACCAATGTGCTTGGACTAACATTATAACCAATGTTTCTCTACAATTTGAGATATTCTATATGCTATTTTTGAAGTTTAGTCTGGCGGAGTGACCACCTCATTATTGTGCCA